TATGTGATCCTATGAATGTAGCTACCAAAGGCCAGAAAAGATATTTCATCCCTTTTATAGATGACCACTTGCGATATGGCTATGTGTACATAATACACATGAAATCCGAAGCTTTAGAAAAGTTTAAAGAATATAAAGCCAATGTAGACAATCAAACTGACTTAAAAATGAAAGTCCTTAAAACCAATATAAGAGGAAAATATTCATTCGAACTTTTCAAAGAACTTTGTGTTGAAAACAAAATCAGTCATCAATACACCATGCCTTATACTCCCGAACAAAATGGTGTTGTTGAGAGACGAAATATGAATTTCGTTGAAATGGTAAGAAGATGATGGGGCCCGCTATGCTCTCCTTGGATTTTTGGGGAGAAGCCGTGTTGACGACATGTTTTATCCTTAATCAGACTCCCATAAAAGCCACATCATTTACTCCTCAAGAAATATTCACTGGTCGTGCTCATTCCCTTGATCATCTAATAGTTTGGCGTTGCTCAGCCCATGTCCTAATCATACACCAAAATAAGACCAAACTTCAACCCAAAACTGTAAAAACCATTTTCATTGACTTCCCAGACAATGGTAAGGGATATCGATTATACAACTTTGAAACCACGACAGTTATTGAGAGCCGCGGTGCTCATTTCTTCGAGGAAGAATTCCTTGAAGCAAGATTGAGTCACAAACAAGCTGACCTCTTTAAGGAGGTAAGAAACAAGGATGTGCTTAGAGAACCCGAACCTGAAACTTCAAATAGACTTAAGCCTGAACCTAAACCCTCAATTCAAAATGAGCCTGAACTTGAACCGAGACGAAGCAACCGAATCAGTAGACCACCTTTATACCTAGAATACTATGTCTACCTAAGAGAACACTATGATAGAATTGGGGATGATCCATATTCTGAACCCAAAAGTTACCATGAACCCTTGCTTGTCCTGAAAAAGACTATTGGATAGAAGCCATGAAGGACGAACATGCTTTCATTAACCAAAACTATGCTTGAGAATTAGCGTCACTACCTTCAGAAACGTAAGGCTATAGCATGTAAGTGGATTTTCAAAAAGAAGTTAAACTTGGAAGGGAAAACGAAAGAATACAAAGCTAGGCTAGTTGCAAAGGGATTCACCCAAAAGGAAGGGACAGATTATGATGAGACATTTTCCCTAGTTGCCAAATTTCTATCCATCAGAATCCTAATAGCTATAGTTGCTTATTTTATTTTTGAGGTTCATCAGATGGATGTCAAAGAGCCTTCCTAAATGGAGATTTAGAAGAAGAAATCTACATGAGTCACCGAGGGATTTGAGGAAAAAGAAAGGGAAACCTAGTATGTGAATTTAACAAATCCCTCTATGACCTAAAACAAACATCGCGTCAATGGTATATAAATTTTCAAGAGACCCTAACTCTTGTGGGGTTCTGTATAAATAATGAGGACCACTGTATCTATCAAAAGATTAGTGTGAGTGATGTGGTATTTATTTTATTGTATGTGGATGATATACTAATTGTTAGTAACTCGATTGCCCTAGTAGTAGAGACTAAAACTATAATTGCACAACACTTCGATATGAAGGATCTTAGATAAGCTTCATATGTGTTGGGTATCAAGATACTAAGAAACAGAAATGAGAGAACTATCAAACTTTCTCAAGCAATCTACTGTAAAAGGATATTGAAAAAGTTTAATATAGATAAGTGTAAACCCATGTCTACCCCAATACCAAAAAATACGAAGCTTCATACTAAGATGTGTCATACTGAAGATATTGATACAAGTGCGATGGAGAGAGTGCCTTATAGGAGCATAGTTAGGTCCCTTATATACGTCATGACTGGAACAATGCTTGACTTGTTTTTCATCATAAGCATGATTTGCCGATTCCAATACAATCCTGGAGAGGAGCATTGGAGAGCGGTTAAGAGAATCCTCAGATATTTAAAAAGAACCATAAATTATGTGCTTACATACAAAGGCGGAATTGAAATAGCAATTGATGGGTATTCAGATGCAAGTTATCTTGCGGATCTAGATAATGTGAAAGCCACATTTAGATATATGTTTATGCTTGGAGGGAGTGGAGTTTCTTGAAACTCAAAGATATATGATGTGGTGGCATTGTCCACCATGGAGGCAGAATATGTGACATGTTGTTTGGCGGTCGAGGAGACCTTATGGATTAATGAGTTTCTTAATCAACTCAATTTTTATCCCGTTCGTTGTGAGACAATAATGATTTTATGCGACAACACGGTGGCAATTTACGTATCAAATAAGCTACATTTTCATAAGAAATCCAGGTACATAAAACTATATTTCTACACTTGGGGAATGAGGTGAGACTGAGAGAGATCAAGATTAGCTATATATCCATAAATCTAATAATTGCAGATCCTTTAACCGAAGGAGTTGCCTCTAATGTTTTGTTAAGACATGCGAGAGAGATGTGGATGAGAGAAAGTGAGAAAGAGAGAATGTAATGATTCAAAGGCCAAGTAAGAGATGTTGGGTAAGTGTGCCATTGAGGCTTTATTAGTGCTTGTAATGAAACATTTAATATAATGGAACATGAATTCAGTGGTAGTGTGGTCCCTCGTGGACCATACTAAGCAAATAATATTTGCTGATACCGAACTGTGCTTGACGGTCTATGCTAGTCGGTTGGAAAAAACCTATGTTATCTGAGCATAGAAAACTATCCGATAAGGGTTCTAATATGTCAACCCTTTATGAGGTCGAAATATAATCAGATGAGTGAGTCGGGGGATTGTATGACTTTTGTTTTTGATGGTGGCCTTTAGAGACGGGGACCAAAACTTCATATATGTACCTTTTAGGATGAAGCTTATGCATGTGCAACAGATACTCTTATGCGCCATATGAGTTGTGGTTGCATCAAGTCCAAGTGACCTTGGTACTTTTCTAGGAGAGAACTTAAAATCCACAATCTGAGATTACAATCCCATGGCTCATCAATCAGACTTTGGTGACCCACTAATGAGCCCTTACCTGGACTATGGGTCATGGGAAATACTAGATCGGTTGATAAAGCAAGTGTGGACCGTAGTCCACGGTTGAAGGTGGAGTCCCCCAAAATATTTATTCCTAGAACATATGGATCCTTATCCCATCTCTAATGAATTTAATTGTGTTTATTTTATGATGATATGATTTTAGAATTATTATTAAATGTGATTTTATGACCTTGTACCAATGATAAAAAGTCTAATGATATACTTTTTATTTTATTTTTATTTTTATTCTTTGGTTATCAAAAAGGTTTATAGATGATTTAAAAAAAGCTTATAAATGATATTTGTTTCAATATCACGATCTTATTTTTTGAGATCATAAATAGTGTTTGATTTTCCTTTTTTAAAATGAATAAATGTATAAATAGACCATTTACTTTTAGTATAAGAATGTCACAATCATTATTTTTCGTCAAAAATTAAATCGGTTGATTGTAAATGTGTTATGACTAGACTTAAAGTTAATAATAATAATAATAATAATAATAATCTTGAGTTCGTAATATTACTTAAGCTATCAAATTTGACATTTAATGGTTATGAGTGATTGTGGTGTCTTTATAATACTGATAAATCATCTCATAGTATACAACCTATTTTGTTTTAATTAATTCTTTTGAGCTGAGTTGCTGGATCGAGTAATATATCCCAAACTTTCCCACGAAACTTCAACGGGTTTTACCCAAGGTAGTGAATGGACTATATGATCCCGCGAGATTGAACTTTTGCTTTTGGAAATGAGAATTGAGAAGGCGAAGTGGCTGAGAGGGTAATTTTGGCATTACAGGAAAGATCATGACTATATAATAGGGGTGCTTGCTTTACCCTTGTTCCAGGAGCTGGCATGAGAGAGAGAGAGAGTGAGAGCCGATTAATCTTTGCTCCTCTGCGAATACCAAACCCTCGCTCTCTGAAAACCTTAACCCTAATTATTGCGAAAATTTAACCCTAAGTCATTTCTGAAATTCCGCATCATCATTCCTTTCGCTTCCAGTGTGATAAGCCTGATAGGCTTCTTGATCAGTGACTTGAATGAATCGAACTATGAGTCGGTTCTGAACGAGCTTATCCAGGTACGATATTTCATGCTCTGATAATTTATTTTCCTTGGAAATTATTTTTACTGGATTTTTTTCATTCCATTCTTCATGTTCAGTGTAATATTGATTGTTTATGTTTCTCTTTTGTTGTTTTCCTTAATACTTGTGGTACTGGTTATTTCAATGAAAAAAATCGTATAAGGTAGGTGATGTAAATTGTGTTGTTTTCTTGTGATGATGTAAAAAGTGTATTCTTTATCTGAAATTTGAGGGTAATGGATGTCTTGAATTCAGTTTTTCTCAATCATGAGAGAGAGAGAGAGAGAGAGAGAGAGAGAGAGAGAGAGAGAGAGAGAGAGAGAGAGAGTAGTAGTAGTAGTAGTAGTAGTAGTAGTAGTAGTAGTAGTAGTAGTACGTAGTAAGTAAGTAAGTAAGTAAGTAAGTAATAACGTTAACGTTAAGTAACGTAACGT